GTGCTTGATGCTGAGTCTAATGATCTGAGTTCAATCCTTGAAAACCATGTGCACGAACACTCACACACACACATACACACACACACACTCTCTCACACACACATACACACTCACACACACATACACACACTCATACACACACTCATACACATACATACACACTCTCACACACACTCACACACACATACACACACTCACACACACATACATACAAACACACTCTTACACACACACACACTCTCACACACACATACACACACTCACACACACATACATACAAACACACTCTCACACACACACATACATACACACACACACACTCACATACATATACACACTCACACGCATCCACACACACCACACTCACACACACCACATACACACTAAATAAATAAATGAAAATTTAAAATGTTTAAAACAAATGTTCTTTCTTAGCCAGGTGTGGTAGAACATACCAGTAGTCCCAGAAATTGAGATATAGAAGGAGGAGGCTCGGCAATTCATGGTTAACCTTGGCTATATACATGTCAAGCTGCAAGGCTAGCCTATACTAGATGAGACGCATCTAAAAAAAAATCGGACTTCCGGTTTGGGACCGAGCCTAGAGCAGGTCGCAGGCAGCAGCTCCGTACCCAACTGCAGAAAACCAAGAAAAACAGGGACTCCCAGGAGCTTGAACTCACGCAGCATCCCAGGTAAAATTGAATCACCCGTGATGCCTGCTATTAGAAGTTCTAACCCAGATGGACCAGAAGCCAGGAGCCTCGCCCTTACCCTCACCCCCTACCTTTTCCCACCTGCACAAGGTCCCCTGAAGCTGGGCAACTGCAAGATCCTGCTTGGCAACTGCAGATAGACTCAAAGCAGTGTACCATATCATCTGAAGAATAGCAGAGAGACCATAACTCAAGCAGTGTACCATATCTTCTGAAGAATAGCAGGTTGCAGTCCTCCTCGCCCCCACGAATAACTAGGACCCGCCGGTCGGGTCAAGTGGCACCCAGACGTGGGGCTCGAAGCACGGACCCATCCGGACGGACCCTCATTGAGAGGATGTGCGCACGACATCAAGATTGAGCAAGACAGAGATCATCGCCCGTGACCTGTCGTCCACGGAACCAGGTTGATGCTGCCATCAAGAAGGCAGTTGAAGTTCATTACCATCACCTGAAAATTGCAGAGGATCCAGAAGTGACTCCGCAGGAGACTGACACAGCTGTCAGCTCCCCTGCCTCCCCCTACGGTCGACCCCTAGACTTCCACGCCCTCCAGAAGGGTTCCTGGTATGCCTGGCTTTGCCCTCATTTCTCTCGCTAGAGAGCTTGGCTTCTTGATCACCACAACAAAAATTGGCTTTTTCCTAAACCAAGGCCACCCTTGATATGGCCGCTAACATTGGGGAGCCTTCCTTTATGACAATATTACACCCCAAACTGACAAATGGTTGGTAACTTGAACATTTACAAGAGACTAGGATGGCTGTGAGTTAGTCCAATGACGGGATTATTGTAGGTCCACTTCCCAGGGGCCCACCCAATGCAGCCGAAAAGGAGTGCGTGGTGCTGGGAGTGGGTGCAGCCTACATGGCCTAAGACAGGGCTCTCACCCTCCTTTCACCCACATCAGAGTCCCTTGACGTTGCCCATCGTCGACAGCCTAAAGCCTTCGACCATCGATGTGACTCGTCTCACATCAGTGTTTTGGGGTTGTGAACTTGTCTAAGACCCCCCATAATTAGACATCCAAATTCAAAACTCACATAGTTGGGATTGAACATAAGATGCCTTCTCTAACTAAACAGAGAAGGGGGAGATGCCAGAAGCCAGGACCCTCGCCCTTACCCTTACCCCCTACCTTTCCCCACCTGCACAATGTCCTCTGAAGCTTGGCAACTGCAAGATCCTGCTTAGCAACTGCAGATAGACTCAAAGCAGAGTACCATGTCTTCTTAAAAATAGCAGGGAGACCATAACTCAAGCAGTGTACCATATCTTCTGAAGAACTCCAGGTAGATCATAATTCAAGGCAGTGTACCATATAGACCATGACATGTTTCAAGGCACAGGCCAAGAAGATTTTGTACTTTTCCACCACCTGGACCCTCTTACCCCCTCCCCTTGTAAAACATGCTATAAAAAAAAGCATTTCATGTTCAAAAAAAAAAAAAGAAAAGAAAAAAAAAAGAAAAAAAACAAAAAAAAACAAAATAAAATAAAATAAAATAAAATAAAAAATCGGAATATTCCCACAAAACTCAACCAAAACATTATTAATAAAAAAAGCAAAAAGATAGCTATAAGTGAACAGAGGTCTAAATCTATGTTAACAGAGTTTGTTCTCAAAAACATAAGAGATGTGCTCGTACTGTGTGGCCATAGGGAAGGCACTGGGAGTCTGAACATTTGCAGACTGGGGCACGATACAGCAGCTTAAGATGTTGGTTAGCCACAGGAGGAGGGAATCAAATGTCAGGAGAGGGAAAACTCAGCGCCTGCCTACTGTCCACTCCTCTGCTAACATAAGGCCGAGGCCGACTCTTCTGGGGGGGGGGATAGAGGTGAGGGTAAGAGGGAGAGACACGGAGGCCCCAGACAAGGCTGTAGTCATCATCTGAGTGAGGTTGGGGTGGGGAGAGCTCTTAGCCACCCGGCTTTAACCTTTAATCCCAGGACTCAAGAGGCAGAGGCAGGCAAATCTCTGAGTTTGAGGCCAGCCTGGAACAGAATAAGTTCCAGGATGACTAGGGCTACACAGGGGAACCTCATCTTGAAAAAAACAAACATTCTCTCTAAAGCCTCAAACACCGCGTTTTAAGTGGAGCAGACACTTCCTCTCTTCCAGAGATCAGCAGCTAGTATACCAGCAGTTCTCAACCAGTGGGTCATAACTTCTTTGCGGGTCACCTACCAATCCTGCATACCAGATATTTCCATTATGATTCATAGCGGTAGCAAAATTACAGTTATGAAGTAGCAGCAAAATCATTTTATGGTTGGGGGTTACCTGTACTAAAGGGTCCCGGCATTGGGAGGGTTGAGATCCACCGTGATGTACAATGGCACCATGCAGGAGCAGACAAAAATGCAGAGGACTGGGGAAACAAACAAGTCTACCAGTCTGGAGGACCTGCAATTTGATGCTTCATTCAAGAGAGAGGCACACAGCCAGACAGGGCAGGTTAAATACCCAGGCTTGGGAGTCAGCATCATGGTGGTGGGCGGGGGTTGACTCAAGCCAATGTACCCTTGCCACAGCCCAGGTAGACTATGGAAGATAAGAAAGGGTGAAGGCAGAGAGAATCCTCACACCAGGAAGCAATAGAGAATGACAGCTGATAGGTGGTCTCGGAAGTAGCACCATGAAAGCCAAGGAGACAAAGATGCGTGGTAACAATGTATCCTCAAAGCTCAAGTAGAGCAAAAATGAGAGGTAGCCACAGAGTTCGGCAATTAACACCCTTCTTGGCACTGTCACAGATGGCTTTTGTAGCCCACGGGGTGGGGGTGGGGTCAGAAAGCAGGCTACAATTGGGCTGAGAAAGGAATAGGAGAAATTGACTGAAAACACATGGAAAAAGAGTCCAAGGAAGAGTCCGGAGCACAGAGGGGTCTTACAATGCTTTCCCGGAGGGAGCGAAAGCAGAACTGAGCACCTGAACACAGTTTGAAGCAGCCAGTGGATAACAGAGAGGGGAAGTGAACAAGACAGTGAAGTAACATGTTTATCCATTGGCAATGTCTGATGAGAATGGCCCTGCTGGTGACAACACATGCAGACATGCAAACGGTTCCATATTTGTTCAACGGGTTGGATGATGTAGCCCAGGGCTACCTATAGGATAAATTAGTGTCCACGGTATTGTCAGTATTTCCTTCAATAAAGGGAGGACAGAGAAGGCTTCATGTTCTCATCATGCATCTAGAAAGACAAGCAGGAAATGACCAAGGCACAACAAGAAAGTAAAGGCAACAAATAATAAATTTTTAAATGAACAGAAATGTTAGGGCAGGGTTTCCCCACTTCCTTAGTCTGGCCTTGAACTCTGGGATTCAAGAGATCCATCTACCTTAGCCTTCTCAGTGCTGGGATCATGCCAGCCATCCGGCCTTACTAGGAGCAAAATGACCTGAAGAAATCTGAAAGCTAGTTCCACCGCAGAAGATCGGCATATCAAATATCTCCACGAGAAAGACATACAAAACAGTGTTAACCGTGTCTGTAACACGTACTTATGTATCAGCACACTGGTATGTATATGTGTACATAAACCTATACCAGTAACTACATATGCTGCGTAAAACTGAGCTATAGGTAACAGAAAGCAATAAAACCAGTGCTTATTTCTAGCCGTGTAGATTGCATTTGGTAAGGGACAAGCTCTGCTGACTTCTGTTGCTCTCACGCTCCCACAGAAGGACCATTTATTTACACCTTCACTGTTTACCTGTAGTTCAATCTTGCTGCTTTACAACAGTGATTCTCAATGCTGTGACCCTTCAACAAAGTTCCTCATGCTGTGGTGACGCCCCCAACCATAAAATTATTTTGTTGCTACTTCATAACTGTAATTTTGCTGTTATGGATCACAATGTAAGTATTTGACATACAGGCTATCTGATGTGTGACCCTGTGGGGGTCTTGACTCACAGGATGAGAACTATAGAGCACTTGCCCTGCAGTTCACGTACTTGCCTGCCTGACTCCAACACCCCTGGCAGTGCTTAGCGAGTTCAGCATCTTTAACTGGTATCCATTTTTATATCCATGTGAGAATAACAAAATTACCTTTTTCTGAAAATTATTCTTTAACAGTTACAAACATTTATGGAAGAGTTCATTTTAATGTGAAAAAATTTAGGATATGGAAAAATATGGTAAGCTACCCAATTTTTTCTTGAAGATGGACTATTTTTGATGCCCCCAAATCAGTAAGTACATTTCTAAACACTGAAAGCTGTAGGCCAATGTTATTCCCAAATAAAAAGAAAAGTAATGCTCACAGGTTTGGACTGATGGAGTTTTACATCCAGGCTCTCACAGCCACTTCCCAAACCTTTTGAAAGGAAAGGAAAAAAGGAATGTAGTTAGTTCTTTGGACACCTGCCTCAAAAATGTGATACTTAATCCCCCAACACATAATGAAAGTGGGCGTGGCTACCGGTGTACCAGGTAAGCAAGAGCAACCTGATGTGCTCATCCTCCCACAGTCCAGAGCCTGTGGGCGGGGCCTGTGGGCATCTTTGTATCAGCAATAATTGTCTCAATGGTTGCTACAGCATCGTGGGGTTCTGTCTGTAGCTCTTGGAACTCTTTTATGTCTAGCCGTCCCAGATTCTGAGCAATTACATTAAGAACTGTACTTCCTGAGTCAAAACCAAGGGTATTTGTTTAAAGCAACAAGCGAACCCTTTCTGTTTGAATTGTTCTATCAACTGAAACCTTTAGGCTGCTCTTGAACCAAAATGTGAATTGCGTAGGCATTCCCTGGCCATCATGATCTTGAATGAAGAAGGGTAGCCACAGCCAGAATAAAATAAAATCCACATTAGTCAATGGCTCTGCATTTTCAGGTGCACTGTCAGTACCTTTTTATCTATCTGTCTGTCTGCTTATCTATCTATCTATCTATCTATCTATCTATCTATCTATCTATCTATCTATCTATGTACCTACCTATCTACCTATCGTTTGTGATACTGGAAGTCTCACCCATGTTAGGTAAGTACTACTTACTGAGCTACACCCCTAGCTGTGGGTCTCGAAAGGATAATTAGTCTGTGAGATATTTTTTCAAAGAACTTGGGTTAAGGAAACGTGAGGAGGTGAATATGGACAAATAAAACAATCATTTCCTATACTTAGTAAAAGTAATTTTACAAGTATGAAGAAGGCTGGGGAGATGGCTCAGAGGGCCAGAGAGCTTGCTGTGTAACTGTGAGGACATGTGCTTTGATCTCCAGCACCACACAAGGAGTGGAGTGTAGCAGGACAAATCTGCAGCCTCAGCATGCAGGGAGGGGGTCGCAGGGCTTATTAGCTGCACAGCACCAACAAATGAGCTCCAGATTCACTGAGAGACCCTGTCTCAAAGGACCAGGCGAGGGTGATAGAGGAGGACAATGGACACCTTCCTCTGATCTACACACACACACACACACACACACACTCACAAACTCATACACATGCATGCACAAACACACATACACACATGCATGCACACACATAGATCTACACACACATGTGTATATACACACATACCCATACATGCACACACACACTCACACATGCATGTATGCACACACAGACCTGCACACATGTGTATTCACACACATGCACACATAGACACACACACACACTCACAAACTCATACACATGCATGCACACACACTCACATACATGCATGCATGCACATACACGAATCTGCATACATATGTGCATATACCCACACACACATGATGCATGCACACACAGACCTGCACACATATGTGTATATATACACATACTCACACACTTGCACACACACACTCACAGACACATGCTCACACACATTCATACACATATGCATACAAACACACAGAGATCTGCACACATATGTATATATACACATACACAGAGAGAGGGAGAATGAGGGGGAGAGATCTGCACACATACACACATGATCTGTAAAATTTTAGAGAAAGTGTCAATTTTACTATCCTTAGGTCTGGTGGGTATTTCCAGTGCTCCAGAAAAATTTCTCTATCTTCTCAGTGTGTGGCTTCCAGCTCCAGGGCACAGCCAGTCTCTTGATCAATTCTAAGGGCCATGGAGATGTTACCCAATCAGTTGAAGAAGGTAAGTCAAGAGAGCCCAGCACTACCAACAAATCCAGCTTGATTTAGAGGAGGCTTCTATCTGGAACCTGCCCTGTTGGCCACAGGCACCAGGAAGCTGCTTTTGCTAAAAAGCATTGAGCCCACAAAGTCACAGGCAGGCAGGATGGAAGCCTGTGGGGGGATGGAAGCGGGGTGGGGGGATGAATGGCAGGGTGGAAGCTGGGGGGGAGGGATGAAGGGCGGGATGGAAGCTGGGGGCGATGAAGGGCAGGATGGAAGTGGGGGGGATGAAGGGCAGGATGGAAGCTGGGGGGATG